AGTGTGAAGAAACTTCCTCTACCAATGTGGAACCAATCTAATCTTAGAGAGTTTTCTGGAGATAAGAGAGAGTTTAAGTGATCTGCTCAGTCTATTATTCTACTGAAATATAAATGAAAATAAAGATAATGTACACCTATTAGGTATAAAGCAGTCACTATCAATAAGAAGAATTTAAATATTCATTTTCAAGGCATATACTCACCTTCCATTTCAATCTATAATATAAAATAATTTTCTACAATGAAATGGGGGATATATGTGGGAACAAACTCTATTCATTTTTTTTATTTGTTTCCATACTGAAATATCTCCCTTTGATCTATAGGAATGGGATTAAATGGGAAAATACTTGGACTCAATATAGACCTGTATTTTGGTGCAGTGCAGAGATAAAATAATGAGGGTTGTGTTGATATTGAATAAGAAAGAGTAAATTCTGTGGGATTTTCCTGTGACATTGAATAAAAAGATAATAGCTTTGTCTTTTTGTAGAATAAAGCATCATAGTTTTCAGTGTTTGAGAGGAAATAGATGAAATCATTTTACAATATTTGACATGTATTTGCATACACAAAATAAAATTATTTGTCCACTTAAAAAAAATCATGGAGCTAATGTGGCAGAAGCAAGACTTTAATACAAGTCCTCCTGACTTCAAGGCTCAAGCCATTACTCCATGCTGCCTTTTTCTAAAAACTATCTAAAAACTCTCTTAAAACTAAAAATTATATTAAGGAATTTTAGAAGGGTGCTGTTGAATGAGTGCTACTCAGTATGGAATTATGAGATGACAATGACCCTTGGTTATCATAGGCTGTGCCAGCAGACTATAGACTTTGGTATGCCCTACCAAATTAGAAAATGTTTGAGGATTAGCCATGTTGTGAATTGTCATTGTATTGATCGTAGTTTTTATGGTTTGAAAGTTGTTTGTTTGCACAGTGTTAATGTTACTGTACAGTGTTATCCTAGCTTTTCTCATTCATTCTTCATCTGTTTATAAGAGCCTTCAAGATTCTTCACTTTTTTATATTTATGTTATTGTAGAAATTATTTTTCTGGTTTTGCTTACTTCACCTAGTATCACTTCATATATGTTTTTCCAAATCTTTTTTGAAATAATCTATTCCCTCATTTTGTATAGCACAATGATATTCCATCACATTCATATGCCACAACTTATTTAGCCATTTTTAAACTGATGAACATCCCCTTAGTTTCTAGGTTTTTGCAATCAGTAAAAGAGCTGATATAATATTTTGTGTGTATAGGACCCTTTTTTCTCTTTTTTTGATATCTTTGGCATATAAGCATAGTTAGGTCAAAGGGAATTCACTGTTTAGTAATTTTGTGTGTATAATTCCAAATTGCATTCCAGAATGAGCTGTACCCATTCATAGACCCACCAGTAATAGACAGTGGTGCATCAATATGCTTGTTTTCCCATAGCTCCTCCAACATTTATTAGTGTCTATTTTTTGTTATTTTTGTCACTATGATGGTTGTGAGATCTCACACTGGTAAAATCATAGATCCTTGCAGTACTAAATTGTTGTTTCACATATTAACAAAATTCATACATCATGTTGGCCAGGGTATGGACTATCCTCAAGTATGAACTTTACCATTAAAATAAGAACACTTTTAAGGGAAAATTTATATTCAGTGATGTGATAAGGATTGCTCAAGGTCACAGAAAACATAGGTATTCCAACAACAAATTCAATAGTTAGTACTAATTCTTACTATGTACTGAGAAATAATTACATCCCAATTCTAACTCTTTTGGAGGCGTACAATATTGGGACCACAGAACATCAACAATAAGTCAATAATACTTGAATGCTGCTCTCTACTTCACTTCTATTTATTCACTAGGATAGCATCTTGCCTAGTTGCCAAACCTGGAAATCCTATTACACCACAGGGTCCATTACTAACTCTCTCTCCCCTGAGTAGCTTTGTGCTTTGTGACTGAGTTCCAACAAGTTTCTGCCCCGGGGGCGGGGGGGTCTGTCTGTACATAGGAAGCTGAACTCCAAGATTAGTAAGATGTAGCGCAAACTCTTTGGGGTGAGAAATTTCTGAGGATAATTTCACAACACTAGTTTCTTTATTACCTTGGGTATCTGGAGGAAGAAGAGTTGATAAGCTTTAAAATGAAATCTTCAACTTTAAGAGACTTTGCAACAGGGATGAAGATCCTCACAGGGAGTATCACACAGCTGCTTCAAGATGAGAGAGGAATTTGCTTCTAGTCCTACACCAATTCTTCCTGCATGAATGTAGGCTAGGGGTCATGGGGCAGCTGCTGCTTCTGCATTTTATACTCCTGAGGAAATCTATGTATTTTAAATGGTGTCTGTGGTAATAAATGCACAATTTTAGGCCACATTTAGATTTTATACAAGCAAGATTTTGAGGGAAATTTCAGCAAATATTTGGATCAATGTTTAATTTTCTTTCTAGAAACAAATCAGAAATGCAATTTTAAGATAATGGTATTTGTTGCTCCTTTATAAATATCAAAAATATTATCTTTAATAGGATAAGCATGTTTTCTTAATTTGGATTAATTTTCAGCCAAGATTATGTTTTTTAGAAGAATTTTATTTATTTATTTATTTTGCTGGGGTCATGAGGAGGAGGTTGAAGAGAAAGGAGAGAAGAGGTATGATATCCCCCTGGGGTATGTTGTTTGGCTCATATACTTTTCTTTTCTTTTTTTTTTTTTCGAAATTGGCATAAAACCTTACGAGTGGGCACATTGCCATTATAACAGATGGGGATACAAGAGAACTAGAGCAAGCATCAAGTTTGACTGTTATGGATCATATTCCCATGCAAGAATGTAGAAATGGTCTGTAGCGCTCTCATGTGGAGTACTAAACTAGAGTAATTTTGTTATTCTCAGGGTTTGAAAAAAAGTAAGAATTGTGAATTAGTTGTAGGCTATTAAAATAATTTTAAGATGGATAATGTAGAGATAAATTTAAATTTTTATGTAATATTGATAATTTCATATACAATGTTTTTAAAATCAAACACACATGTGAATTCAGAAGATTGAATGAATTCAGGGACTCTCTAAATTGTTTATGGGGTTAAAAATGGTAGCAAATTAGTTCAGTAATATAGGTGAAAAACATTCTATTTTAAACTTTTTCTAAAATAATCTTGTTCCAAATTTCTATATGATCTCTAATTATAACCCTAATTATTGTTAGTCTTCAAATCCACAAAATATTATCAACACTTGTAAAATAAAGTCAATGAGAAAAACAATTTTGTAATCCCTACTATGTTCTGGTGCCAAGGCTATATACACATACATATATATGTATATGTGTGTGTGCACGTATATGTACATAGGCATACACATGTATGTATACAGGCATGTATGCATATGTGTATATACGTACATGTGCATACATGTGTATGTACATAGGTACATATGCATATGTGTATGTGTGAGCATATACATACATTTGTATATGTACATGTGCATGTGTGTGTATACATATGCATGCATACCTACATATATATGTATATGTGTACATAGATTGATATATAGATTGATTTATAATTGTCCTCCATTCTCAAAGAGGACCAAAATGATATCACTATGTTGAAGTCAAGATACAATATATCCGACTGTATTGATTAGACCAATATGAGCTTGGAAGGCTTTACCACACAGGTCAGGCACAAATGGTCCATATGAACATTTAGAGTGGAGATGTCTCTCAATTTGCACATCTCACCTTTCTTTTGAGCTGCTGCAATTCTGCTTTGCTCATAGAGCAAAGCACCTTCTTTAATGCAAATATGCCATGCTGGGTGGTCCTGTGCTAGTGTCTCCCATGTCTCACAATTGATTCCAAAAATCTTCAGAGAGACTTTGAGAGTATGCTTGTAATGCTTCTTCTGACCTCCATGTGAGAACTTGCCTTGTGTGAGTTCTTTTAGGCAAAAGTATTTTTGGCATTAGAACAAGATGACCAGCACATTGGAGTTACACTCTCTGCAGTACAGTTTGAATGCTTGGTAATTCAGCTCAAGAAAGCACGTCAGTGCCTGGTACCTTATTCTGCCAGGTGATCTTGATTCTGTGATTCTGAAGGTCACCTGGCGAGAAGAAAATATACACACTCACACACACACAATAGTAAGGTCATGTAAATATATAACTTCTCTCTTCAACTACCTTACTGTCTAGTAAGGCAGACAAAATTAATGTGCAAATATACTCTGTGTAGAATTACATAAGTTATCTAAGACATGCTACAAAGGTTAGCTGAGAACCATGAGGGGAAAAGACTTTCTGGCACTTGGAGATTAAGGACAGTTTTATAGAACTTTGAATTGGGCCTATAAGAATGAATATAATTTTTCAAAGTGGTTCTGAGGAGATGGAGCATTCTATGTAGAGCAAAGTTGTGGGCAAAAAGCAAGAAGGGAAGTAAGAAAACTCATGGCCTGTTAAGTGACTTGTAGACAGTATCCATTGTCTGGAATATAGGAAAGATGAAGGAGAAGATAAGATTGGAGAAGGACAGAGCAAGAGTGTGGAAGAATAATTAAACAACAGACCTAGAAGGGATTTGAGAGGCTATGTAGTCAAAATCCTTCCTTTTATAGATTTAGAAACTGAAGCTCAGAGATTTAAATGATGTAGTATTAAAGGAAGAATTTCCACCCCTTGGTTTTAGGAATACAGAGGCTGTATATGCTCTCTGATGGGCCAAAACATTTGGACTTTTTTCTGTAGGTAACTGAGAGACCAAAAAGTTTTCTGAACAATATATTGACATAATCACTGCTATATTTTTAGGGAGATTTACCTAATTCTGATGGTGGAAAATATTAGTACAGCCAAGGCAAATGTTTCAGAGCCTGAAAAGGTGTATTTTGAATAAGAGTGGAAAATACATAAGGAATATTTTATGATATAATCAATGAGAGTTGATGACTGACTCAGTATGTTCTTGATATAGGAGAGGAGTCACTCACGATTTTTGTGGATAAGCGGAAGTTGAGCAAGAGATCCGAAGGAAGTGATTCTACAACCAATAGTTCCTCAGTGACACTTGAGACCCTTCATCAACTTGCTGCTTCCTATTTCATTGACAGGGACAGCACATTACGGAGACTTCACCACATTCAAATTGCATCCACTGCCATAAAGGTATGAATTCGTTCTACAATTATGTAGTTCTATATTTTTCTTCCTTTGAACAACTGAAATATGCATTAGCTACCACTAAAATTCACTGAACATTATTTTGTTTCCCATTTCTTATAGTATGAATTTGTAATTGTGAGGTAGTTTTAACCCTAATTTTACCTGGAAGCCCAGTCCTGCACCTCAAGTGTTTTAATTAGGCAGTATAAAATTAGAACTATCCTAATTAGCTCACAGAAGACTGATTCTTTTCTATTGAATAGGGTCAAGAACATAAAGTTGTGTGAATATAGATTTACCGTTAACTTGAGGGAAGTGAGTGAATTTCATGTGTTCTTTTTTTTTCCAAAATCTTTGCCCTTTTTCATTGGAAGTAATTGAGGAATTCTATGAGTTTCTTGGCTAGCCCTGTGGTCTCCAAACTATTTGGATTGTGCACCTCTACCAATAGAAAGTTTGGAGCATGTGTTATCTGATATATGGACATTTGTTTGCTTATAAATTGCCTATCTCTTACTGTACTTATACATAAATATATGTACACATATAATTAATATATAAGCTCTAAGACATACTAATTAGAAAATTTTAAAATTATGATATAAAAATGAAATGAATAATTCAAATGTATATATACACATGTGTGTATGTATATGTATAGAATCACAGATTTAGAATTAGAAGGAATCTCAAAAGTCATCTAGTTTAACCTCCTCATTTTATAGATGAGAAAGCTGAAGCTTAGGAAGATTGTTTATTTTATTAAAATATAAAAAATGAGAATGTTACTCTCAATAAATATATCAATAATATTTTCAGTGAGAACAGTATAGATAAGTATGTTTCATTGTTATTTTGGTTTAATACTGTGTCATATAGCAATATATAAATATAGTTCTAAGTTCAATATATTCTGATACTTGGTTGTAAAAGGCTGTCATTGCTGAAAAATATAATTCACAAAATTATATACAGTAAATCTACATGGCTAAAGTACATTGTTGTTACCTGGGCAAACTAAATAATGATATTCGTTTTACAATCCTACCCACCAATTTTGCAAAGTTTTGGTTGAAATTCAGCTACTAAGTTTCTATCTTCCCTGATATCATTTAGTTGTTCTTGCAAAATAATTAGTGTTATATCTTCTGTATGTTTAACAAATTGATTTAAAACCCACTGAAGTTCTTTGCAAGATTTTTAAACATCTAGGAAAATTATATTTCCAAGTTTTTAAGGTGTACAAATAGAATTTTTATAAGTGACATTTACATTTTTTTTTTTAGCAATAAAAGTTCAGCTTTAAAATATCTTGCTTAGGGGCAGCTAGGGGGCACAGTGGAGAGAGTACTGGCAAGAGGACCTGAGTTCAAATCTGGCCTCAGACAGATAACACTCACTAGCTGTGTGACCCTGGGCAAGTCACTTAACCCTATTGCCTAGCAAAAAAGCAAAAACAAATAAAATATCTTGCTATTTGTGATGGCTTCATGCTATCATTAATATCTCAAAAATCAAAATCATGAGACAAGACTAATCAACTATGGTAGTAAATAAAATCCATATTCAAAGTAATCTTGATCATTTTTTAAACCACATTCCTTGTCAGGTTTGATTAAATTGTAATTGGTTTTAACTCACAAAGTAACTGAAGAAGTAGTACTAGGAATATAAAAATTCAGCTCTGCCATTATGCTTTTATTTGCTTGTGTTCAAAGTTACTGTTATGTTCAATTCTTGATTTCTTTGCAAGACTCTATATAAGCTACTTTGTCCATTACATGAAGATTTATTTAAATTTATATACTATAATCAGTAAATCTACAGAGATGGGTCCATGTGAAATACTTTCTGTCACCATATGCTGAAAACGAATAGACAAGTGAGGATGTCATGGACAACCACTTTCTGCTGTAAAACTTCTTTTTTTTTCTCAAGATATTTTTTGTATAATATGTGATACGTGACCTTGTGACTTATGAACTGAATGAGGGTGACTGTATCCTTAATGCTGATGTTAAATATTAGCAAAACTCAATTTCTTTCTTCATATTCACATAAAATAAATAGAAGTGCTAATATTTGCTTCCCATATCCCAGTGCACCCCATTTAGAGATCAATGGACTAGAGATCACTTGGGTCCCTTTGAATTTTGTGTTCTCATGATGTTTTAGCACCAACATGCTAGTAAAAATTGAGAATGTTGCAGGAAACTTTTCACAGTCTTCTATGCTTTTCTCATGAGAAAAATGGTAAAATATGAGCTAGATGATAAAAGTGCTGGTTGAGTGATAGGACTTAATATAATGTGACTAATAGGTCAATATCAGGTTATAAGGAAGTCTGAATAAAAGAGATCAAAACATTTTATCATCCGACTTGTGCTGTTTAGCATTTTTGTGTGTGTGCAATTTGGACAAAGGCATAGATACTATGCCTAACAATTGTGCAAATAACAGCTAAAAACAGGAAAGCTAATTATACTTTGTATTATGGTTAGGATCAGAAATTATCTCAATAGGCTTGAATACTAAGCTGAATTAACTAAAATGATATTTAATCAGTATAAATGTAATTTATGTCTTATATTTCAAGAAAACAACTTCACAATTATAAAATGGGGAGGCTTAAGTAGAGAACATAAGTAGATAAGTAGATCATAAGTAGAGAGCTGTTCATTTGAAAAATATTTGGAGGTTTTAGTAGAATAAAAATTCAAAAAAGAGTGGACATTGTGAATGGGAAAAAAATAATGCCTTTTTGGAGGTTTCCAATGAGAAAGACATAGTTTAAAAAGATGGAAATGAGAATCTTGGGCTCATAAGAACATTGATGTTTTTGTCTGACCTCTAATTTTATTTTTTTTCTTTTTTATTATTTTTTTAGGCAATCAGGGTTAAGTGACTTGCCTAGGGTCACACAGCTAGTAAATGTCAAGTGTTTGGTCTGAGGTCACATTTGAACTCAGGTCCTCCTGACTATAGGGCCAGTGCTCTATCCACTGCACCACCTAGCTGCCCCATGACCCCTAGTTTTACAAATGAGGAAACTAAGGCACTTTTATGTGACTTGTCCAATGTTCCTTGCCAGTAGAGGCAGAATTTGAACCAAGGGCCTTTGATACCAAGGGCCAGTATAAGAACACATTTACAATAAGGTGTTCCATTTTGACCAGTGAATTTTAGAAAGGATATTCATAACCTTGGAGCAATTCAGAAAGGTAGCCAGAGTTGAAAAGAGCTTCTAGATCATGGCATGGTCTTGGGTTGAAGGAACTGGAGATGTTTAGTCTAGAGAAAAGGGAGATTTAGGGGGTATTTCTTTTCAGATCTATTCTGTGGTAAAGGGATTAGGAATTAAAGGCCCCACCCACTTGCCAGAACTAGGAACAATTAGCAAAAATTATAGAGAGGTTGATTTATGAAGGATGTAATTAAAAACTCCGTAAGAATTTCAACTAACCCAAAGTGAAATAGGCTGCTTTGGGAGGTAGTGAATTGTCTCAGTTAGAAGGCTTTAATCATATACTTGGTGAGCTTTGGTCAGGATATTAAAAGGGAATTGCTTGTTATCATCTGAAATCCTTCCTAATGCCTAGATCATGTTATTCTACTATTACAAATGATTCAATCACATGAATAAGAAGCATTTATTAAGCACCTGCTCTGTGCCTGACACTAAGATAGGTGCTGGGGATAAAAAGATAAAAGCAAATAGGGTTTGAACTCTAAGACCTAATATTCTGTCTGGGGAGACTTTCTCTAGGTATAGATATCGATATGTAGGTATATCTATATAAACAGATATATAGATAGATTTATATAGAGAGATCTATCTATACATTCACACATGTGCATATATATAGTATATGCATGTACACATATATGTGTGTTGAGATAGATAGATATATATATATATATACACATACACACACACACATGCACACATAGACAAATCTACCCACTCATATACATCTATATAAATAAAGTTTATTGAGAAGAGAAGGGGAGTGATATAGTCTAATTTATGCATAGGAAAATCAATTTGGTGTCAGTGTGAAGGGTAACTTGGGGATGTAAGATACTTTTAGTGGGCAAACAAATTAGGGGGCTATTGCAGTAGTCTAGATAAGAGATGATAAGGGCCTGAACTGGGGTGTTGATTGTGTGAATGGAGAGAATGGGGGTAGATGTTAGGGATGTTGTCTATATTGAAACAAGATTTGGAGTGAATATGTAAAGTAAGTGAGAGTGAGGTGAAGGATGACATCAAGTTCAACATCCTGGATGACTGGATCAATTGTGGTGTCTTCAACAAAAACAAAATGTAGGAAGATAATAAGAGTAAGGGAAGGGAGTAGAGTCCAGATTGCTTCACAGTCATGATTAATATGTATGTGTGTGTGTGTGTGTATATATATATATATATATATATATATATATATATATATATATATATAAAATCCTTTCTAATATTGAATAGTATGAATAAGAATGATATTTTGAAACCTTAAAGAATAAAATCTCACTTGTATTTGTGTAGAAATTCTAGTTAATTTTCAAAATACATATAAAATAATTCTAGAGATATTTTCTTTGAGATTACTTAATTTAACATTTGTTTTTAAAATTTTGGGTTCCAAATTTTCTTCCTTCCTTCCTCCCCACCCACCCTCATTGAGAAGGCAAGCAACTTGATATAGGTTATACTTGTGTAGTCATGCAAAACACTTCTATAGTACTCATGCTGTGGAAAACTAACTAGATTTCCCTTCAACCTATCTTGCCCCCTGCCCCCGTTTATTTTATTCTCTCTTTTGACCCTCCTCAGAAGTCTTTGCTTCTGACTACTCCCTCCTCCAATCTGCCCTCCCATCTATCATCCCCTGCTCTCTTATCTCTTTTTCCCCATTTTCCTATAGGGTAAGATAGCTTTCCATAGCCAATTGAGTGTGTATTTTATTCCCTCCATAAGTCAAATCTAATTGAGAATAAGATTCACT